GTGTGGACCAACCTACTCAGTGTGAACCCACCTATCCAGTGTGGACCCACCTACCCAGTGGAGACCCAAGGTTAGGACTTCCGCCTGGAGAGATGGCTCAGTTGTTAAGAGCACACTTGTGACTCTTCCAGAGGACCCAGATTCAATTCCCAGCACCCAAATAGTGGTTCAAGACCATCCATAACTTCAGTTCCAGGGACTCCAACACTTCCTTCTGATCTCCAAGGTCGGGACTCGAGGTGAAGCAGAGGGATGTATCACCTCCTTTGAGAATGCGTGTACCCCTTCCCGGTGGTGCTCTGGCAAAGAGGAGCCAAGAGGAGTCAGTCTTCCCTCCTCCCCTACCAAGGAAAGATGGGAGGTGGTAGAGGATTCCCATCACTTCCCACCCCGAGGGAGCGCAGAGGCCCCAGGCTGGGTGGCCATGATGTGGTAGATGGATTCCCGGAAGCGCTGGTCTCGACTTAGCCGCTTGGCCACCTCCTTTAGTTCTTCTATGTTGTTGGCTTCTAGCTGGGAGGCCATGAAGGACTGAGATGGCTTCACTGGGGAGACAAAGACCCATTGCCCCGTGAATGGCACTCCCCCATGCTGAGCCCACCCTTCCTCCTTCATCCCAGCCCTACATGCTATTGAGCATCTCTTGGTGCCTCCTGACAAAGGCTGGTAGAGCCAGGTTTGAGAACATATTATCCAGCCTGTCTACTTGTTCTCAAACCTGCCCTCTTCCTGCCTTGCCGCCAACAGTCTGCGCTACCTGACCCCACGCAGGCGTATGAGTGCTCACTGTCATTCCAGGAAGTACTGGACCGGCGCCGGTGGAAACGGCAGCTTTTGATGCGGCGAGTGGCTGCCTTATGGATGTACACGGAGTTCTTCATGATGACCGGCATCTTGGCCTCCAGCTCTGCGTTCCGGATGCATTCCTCGAAGAACCCTGTGTTGACGGGAAGGAGCCATTGAGTGCATCATTTTTCTGGGCCTGTCCTCCCGCACCTAAGTACTCATTTGGTCAGGTGGGAGATCCGTTGATCTGTCCGCTACAGAACACAGTTCCTCCACAAACCACAGTCTGTAGCTAGCACAGAGAAGATCTTCTGGGAACAGAGCTTTTGAAAAGAGGACAAAACTCCAGGCTTTCCTCCCATACCCTCACCCCAGGCCCAACTGCCACAAAGAGGCAGTGCCAAAGGGACTCCCTCCAGGACGGTGCCTGGAAAAGGAACCCCAGGAAGGATCACTTCACACGAGCAGGGCCTGTTCCAGGTTCTAATGGGCTTGGGCTTAAGGGGCTGAGCTCCGGGACTGGGGCTGGGCCCTGGAGTGAGGCCTTACTTTTCAGGTGGCTCACGTCAGCCCGCATCCTCTCTTCCTTCTCCTTGTTCCGAACCTTGGAATTAAGTCCTTGTTCCAGGCTTCTCAAGGCTGCCTCTGCCTCTCGAAGTCGTCTCTCCAGGTCCATGCGCACCTTCACTTCAGCCTGGATGGCGGGACAAGGGAGAGGGAAGCTGAGTCCAGGAAGCAGTCGCCCCCCTCCCCGAAAGCCTTCCTTCTGTGATGGCTTATTTTCTTCGCTAATTCGACTGGATTTAGGGTCACCTATGAGACCCACTGTGTGAGGGCATCTCCAGAAAGGTTTAACTGAGGATGCACCCCGAGTGTGGGTGGCACTGTCCCATGGGTTGGGGTGCCAGACTGAATAAAAAGGAAAGGGGAGAAGGTGTAGATTCATCTCTCTGCTTCCTGCCTGCAGAGACAATGTCACCAGCTGCCTCGCTCCCACCAGCATGCCTTCCCTATCATGACAGACTGCGTCCCCTCAAACCACGAACCATCCTTCCGTTATCTGCTTTTGATAGAAGTATCATCACAGCGATGAGAAAAAATGACTAGTATCCTTTTCCCTATCGTCCTGGGCTCAACGGTCTTGGGTGGGCATTTCCATATCTCAGTTCCACACCTTACCCATGGCCCAGATGGCTGGGCGTGGCCCCGTTCCTAACACTTGCCTATCAATGACAGAGAGACTGCTGCCTCCTGCGATAAACCCGCCCCTGAATCTGGCCTGCCGGACATTCTGGGAGAGGAGTTTAGGGTAGCTGTGAAGAACAGGGATGGGCAGGAGTCCACAGCCGTGTGGAAGGGCCCAGAGCACAAGGCTCATGCGGGCTGCACACCTTGAGCTCCCGCTCAGCCTGCTGCTTCTCTGCGGTCAGCTCCTGAAGTGAGTTCTGCAGGGCTTGAGACTGGCTGGAGTAGAACTCTCGCTCCTCCTCCAGGGCCCTTGAGCGCTCCTCATTCTCCTTCATCCTGTGGGCAGGAAGGGAGCTTACCCAGTGTTCGCTTACAAAGGGGCTTGCCCCTGCCAGAGGCTTTCTGGGTCCAGTCAGATAGGGGATGACAAGGCTGACGTGGAGAGACGGGAGCCCTAGTCTTAAAGGTGCAGGGATTGCTACTTCCCTGACCTCAGGAAATCCTCCAACCCCAGCGAGACTCAGTTTCTTCGTGGGTTGGGTGGACAGAAGCTAAGGGAACTTGTTGGCTGGCCACAGACACTTCTCTGAGGACTTGATGATGCTCTAAATGATTTGTCAAGTCAACTTTGGGAAAGCCAGGTCGTGGGCAAAAAGAAGTGACCTGTCTTGTCAATGACAGCTGGAATACAAATCCAGTTGTATAACTTGTGGGAAGTCACAGCTCCCAAGCTGCTGGAGGACCCAGTGGTCTTGGGTGCCTCACCGCTTCTCTGCTAGAAGCTTCTCTGCCAAAAGCTCCTGCATCCGCTCTTCGATCTGCCTGAGGTTGCTATGGAGACCATCGCTGGCAAGTGGCTGCTCGTTCTGATTGGCCGATGGCTGTGGCTGGTTCTTATCTTCCTCCAGCATCTCCAGGGTTTTCTTCTTCTCTAGGGAGAGTTCCTGGTACAAAGGCAGGGAAGGGTGAGAAGGAGCATGGGTTAGCTCTACAGCATGACTGCCCTGGTCTCCTCGCAATTCCGGGGAGTGATCGACTCCTCCCTCAGTCCTCCATGCTGGGTACCTTACATGTCTCATTCCAAGATCTCCTTTCTTACAACATGACCAGGATACTCCTCCATCAAGACAGACAGACAAGGAGGAACCCAATGTGACTTCCAATAGAGAGGGTACCCATCAGCGCCAGGTCCCAAGGCCTCAGGGCAACATGACCCTCTGAGGTCCGTGTTCCTCGAGGAGAAGGGAGATGTACTGGGCTCATGTGAAGATGCCCGAAAGGACCAGCGCAAGAGTGCATCTGGACATTCTCTGCACTATCAGCCAGGATCGTGACCACTACAACAAACCTCTGGGGTTGGAAATACCCACAGTAATCACTCCCCATGCCAGGGAAAGCTAAACAAACCAAGGCTTTGGTCACTCCAGAGAGACTAAACTCTCACAGCCTTCACGACACTTCATGGATTCAACTAAGATGTATGGTCCCAAGCTCACTTCAGGTGCTGGACTTTGGGAAATGGCTAAGACACGGCCAAGTGAAGTCCACAGTTTTGAAAATACAGCGTGTCAATCCTATAATGAATGTGCAAATGCACGGGAACACAGAGCAAATACCTGCCCGGAGGAATCAAGGAAGCTTGATTACAGAGATGTTTTAGCTGAGTCTGAAGACAAACAGTTCTCCAAAGAAGAGATGAAAAGATATACGTTGTGTAGAGGCAATGGTAGGGTGGAGGTGTGGGGGGGTCAAAAACCTTGTTTTCCTTAGAGACATGATCTCAGTAGTTGGAGCAGGGGCAAGGGGTGAAGGGGTAGCAGGGGAGGACAGGCTGGGGGTTTCTACTTGCATGCTATGCTAAAGAGCTAGGCCTCTGTCCTTGACACGGGGTGCTTACCCCTGCCCCTCCCGGTCTCTTGTATCAGAAGAAGGTGACCTGGGAGTCGATTTCCCTAAATGCTCAGTTTAACCCAGGAGCGGCTAAGTGAAGGAACCACAGAAGGATGTGGTGAGTGAGGCGATAGCCCACTCTTATCGATCCGGGTCTGATATAACCCCAGCGCTAAGAGAGTAGGTTTCCCGAGGCCATGGTCATCACAAGGGCAAGCTGGAATGCTTGTTCTGGGTCTGGGAGGAACCAGTCCGTGCTTTGGGTTTCCTGTGCCAGACAGAGTTCCCAACCATCCACAGACGGGGTCCTTTAGATAGACTCCTCTTCACGCTCATTCTCCTGTGGGTACCTTCCCTGGGAGATATATGAGAAATCCAGTATGATATAGCCCCACCCACCAGCTCGCCTCCTGGGCAGGCAGCCCCCTCACCTCCAGCGTGTGCTGTAAGGACTCCGTGAGGTGCCTCAGCTCCTTCTTCTCCTGTTCTACACCCTTGAGGCATCGTGCAGTGAGTTCTAGCTCCCTGTGGGGATGGAGAGCTGAAATGGCAGCGAGCACCCTTCCCAACCTCTGCACTCACACACGCTTCTGTCGTACCTGATGCGGCTCAGCAGGGCCCTTGGACAGCCAGCACTCTGCAATACTGGGCACTGAAAACTGCTGCAGAGTCAGGGCTGCAAGGGCGGCTCAGTCAAATGAGGTGGATTCGCTAACCAGATACGGTAAGGTCCTGCAGCCAGGGACTTAGCTCCCAGTTCAGTGTCTGACAAGTACTTAGGGAGATTCTCTTATTTGAATGCTAACTTTAAAAATTAGGAAAGAAGAGTCTCTATTCCCCACCACACACAATATATATATGACTCCCTTTAATAAGGTGTTTCTGGGCTGTCACTGATAATCCGTGGTGGTGGTGGAGATGGTGGTGAAGATGGTGGTGATGATGGTGATGATGGTGATGGTGATGGTGATGCTATGACACCGAGCACCACCCATCACAGAAGTAGATTCCAAATTCTGGATAGACTACATCTGAATCGCCTGGGCTGGGGATATATACATGTCCTACATTCACGAGATTATAATGCAATTAATGCTTCCAATGGGCAACTAGCTCGGTAAATAATACATCAGACTCAAGATCCCAATGTGTTATTAACTAAAGTGCGAAAGGACTGCAGGAGAGATGGAGAATGTTGGGGGCAATTTTTTTGGGGGGGGGCAGCACTTCTAGGCCAGGCCAGTTTGCTGCCAATAACTTGGGTAAGTGGCTCTCGCAAAGGTAGGAGGGACTTGGTCCTTGGAGGAGGCTGGCCTGCACTCACCCACGTCTCACACTCTTGTTCATACCATTGCAAGAGTGAACGGAAATGACCTACTAGGGATGGAGAGATGACTCAGCTGTTAAAGGCCAGGCTCCTAACCAAAAATATAAGAAATGACCTACTGAGGCACGTATTTTCTGGGCATACTCAAGATCTGGAGCATTGGCAAGACCAGGTCATAAGTGGTCTCCTGGCAAAGCCCTCTCCAAGTCTGGCTGCAGAAGGTTGCCAGGGCTAGAAAATCCCCCCTGCTGTTTCTCACAGGGCCAGGGCATCTCCCTGTTGTCCCCTCTCCCAGGGCACCCCCCCACACACACGTTGCCCATCCCAGGGCCAGGGCCAGGGCATCCCCCGTTGCCCCACCCCCGGGCATGCCCCTCCCCCACTGCCCGCCCCCTGGCCCGCGATCACCTCTTGATCTGCTCTTGCTCCACTCGCAGCTCTTGCACCACCTCCTCGAACTGCTGCTTCTCAGCCTCCAGCACCTGGTTCAGGCGCTCCAGCTCCTGAAGAGAAAAGTCCGAGAGGGCACAGGGCTCCTAGGCTCAGGACGATGCCTCCTTTCGCTAACCCAGGGGACACCCCAGGATTTGGATCAGTCTGGGACATAAGGACAAGCTTCTAAGTTCCGAGGAGCCCAGGCTCCATTCAGCGGCACGCGGTCTCACCTAACCCAAAAATGTGATGAAGCTGGCCCGTGAAAACGGTTAGTAAGAGGAAGGACAGGTTTAGAAATGATCCCAACAAGGGTCTTCCGGCAGATGTGACTAATTCTGGATGTTGTTCCACTGGGCAACTCCAGGGGTTAGCATCCCAAAGGGAAACTGTTTTCTCACTTTCCGGTTCCAAATTACTCTCTGGTCACCTGGGGGCTTTGTTCTCAAGCAGAATGGCATCCTTGCTAGGGAGGGGCACTACCTATGGGGGGCGATGTTGCCATTGGCTTTGAAGAGATTCAGATAGGGAAGAAAATATATACAGGAGAGTATCTGATTTTAACCCCCACACCTAAGTTTCTTACCCACGTAAGTTACTTCTTTCTCATCTAATCTTTCCTGGCACCTGGTTACAAACTGCCTCAGTTTGCTAAATGTGGTCGCCATCTGGGCTGCTCCCTGGCGTTCTGGTGCTCCGCGGCTATAGCACACTGGGTATAGGTAGCTGGGCTCATGGGAGTAGCTGAGGACGGTGAAATGTGAGCAGGAGGGCAAATATCTTTTGAAAAGATGATGCATGGTAGGCTATGGTTCCTTTCCCCTGGCATAGGTAGGGGTCCCCTTAGCCTGGATCCCCAGGGAGGAAGACAGGTGAAACAGAGCTCCGGCCAGTCCAAGTAGCTGTGTGAGAAAACACAGTTTGTGCTGTTCAAAGTCATGGACACATGGGGTCTTTTGGTGACTGCAGAAGCCATGACCTAGCCTATATTTGACATATCTTATCTAGATAAGATACAAATTAAATTTGTATTCTTGCACATATACCCCTCCCACAACTGAAGTAAACCTCAGACCTTAAAAAAAGAGATACATATGAAGCCAGGCGGTGGTGGTGCACAGCTTTAATTCCAGCGCTTGGGAAGCAGAGGCAGGTGGATCTCTGTGAGTTCGAGGCCAGCCTGGTCTACAGAGTGAATTCCAGGACAGCCAAGACTGAAACACAGAGAAACCCTGTAGCAAATAAATACTAATACTAATAATAATAATAATAATAATAATAATAACAATGTTTAAAAGAACTATGAAACTCTGCTTTAATACACAAGGTGCTGCTGGTGCTGAGAGCCTCTCTGGCCACAGAGACCACAGACGTGACCATTTCTCCTCAGCTGGAGTTTGTCAGCTGAGTATGAGCTGCCCAAGGCCCATAGAACTCTCCAGCCAGAAGCATGTGTGCTCCATAATGGCTCTCACAGGTCCCAAGGCTCCAGCTGTTTCAGAAAGGACCACCCAGGACTCAGCAGGGACGCCATCCTCCAGCCTCACTTGGGTTCTGGAAAGCTCCCTAGCCCCGCAGCTCACAGCCACCTCCCTTTACTTGCTGTCACACTGGAATAACCACACCAGAATAGCTTCTGCCGAACTGTCGATCAGTGTCTGAAACTCAGACTTTCCCTCCCTCGCGCTCAAGCTCCTCGGGACGCTGGCAGACGCCAGGCAGTGCCTCCAAGAACCCCAAAGGGAACGTAACCTTGAACATAACAGGGCAACCAAACCAACCCAGCCATTTGCCTTTCTTCTCCACTCCGAGGTCCCAAGCATATGTGAAAAGATGTTTCTACGTGTGTCAGTGACCAGGGAAGCATTTGCTGCCGCCTCAAGGGGCTAGCAGAATGGGTGTCATGACCCAGAGTCACCCAGCACCACAGCACCTCTAAAGGAAGTTCAGTCTTCACGGGATACTTGAATCCCCTGGTGGCTTTCTGCTAACAGGTGGTCAAGGTGTCAAGACCGATCTGAGTGACTCTCACAGTAGAAAATCAGGAAATCAACTGGGTGGTGATGGCATACACCTTTAATCCCAGCACTCGAGAGGCAGAGGCAGGTGGATCTCTGTGAGTTTGAGGCCAGCCTGGTCTACAAGAGCTAGCTCCAGGACCGGCTCCAAAGCTACAGAGAAACCCTGTCTCGAAAAACCAAAAAAAAACCAAGAAAACAAAACAAAACAAAACAAAAAGCAGAAACTCTGTGTCGGTTTTAAACATCCTACAAAAGCCCCCACCCTCTGTCACCTCTGCCCCTCCCCTCAAAGCCACAAATACAAAAACATTGGCAAATAATGGAAGGTTTTGTGGAAATCTTCACAGGGAACCAATAGCATGACTCACCTCATTCAGGCAACAAAACTCTACTCCTCTCCCTGCCTCTCGAGTCTCCTCTGCACTTGCTCAAACTTTCCCTCCCTTCAACAGCTGCCTGACTCCTGACCTTTACCACACTTTCTTCCAGGGTCTCTCTAAGTCTCGGAGACCTGTGGAACCCAGCCCACAAGATAAGAACTAGCACACGGTCCTGAACCAAACAGAAGACCGGTGAGGCCAAGGGCAGCAGCCGGCATCTGGTCACTCCAGGTTGCTATAGCGCACTTGGAGAAGCAGGCAACCCATGTTGCCCACCAGGTTCATTTCAGCCCAAATCTGCCTCCCTCCCAGCTTCCCTCACTGAATCCAGCTTCTCCTTGGACCATCAAATAAGACTAATTTATTTTCCCTTCAGGTATTTAGAAAGAAACAGTGTGTTCTCAAGTCTCCTGTCCTCCAAGCTAAACACATCTTGTTTGCCATGCTTCGCAGACCATGATTTCTCGTCCTCAATAAAACTAATTATATCCGTGAAAAGAATGCAGCTTCAGGGGCCCCTGCTCAGGAAGCCTTGGTACAGGGAGGATTCTTCGCAAGGAATTTACAGGCCCAGCGCAATTCCAGGAAATAGCCCGGTGAGAGTCTTTTCTATTCATCCTTGTTCCATCTATTTACCAAGCACATACTATGTTCCAAGCACCTGCTGGGCTCTGCATGGAGGAGCTGAAGATGTTCTTGTGGAGCCTGTGGTCGAGCGTAGCTACAGAGAAACCCAGACCAGGATTTAATACTGGATGTAGGAATCCAGTATTACTGAAATAATCAGATAGCTCAAAGAGTACTACAAAACAAGACACATGTCCTGCAGAACAGGGACACAGTTCCAGGTCAAGCTCTCCGGGGTGGAAGTAGAACAGAAAACTCCACGGAGGTGAGAAGAGGGGCAATCAGTTGATTCTTGAGCTGAGAGACAAAAATGGGCAGATAAATGGGTTGGAGATTTAGCTCAGTGGCTTGCCTAGTAAATTCTGGAGGAAAGAACATTCCAGATGGAAGGAATACATATAAAGTACATACAAAGCCCCCGTGGAAACATGTTGCCTGGAAGAACTAAGCCAGGCCCAGACGGGACAAGAGGGCAAATACAATGGACGAGAGGCTGGGGTCAGAGAAGTAGTGACAAAGGAGACACTGGAGGCCATCCAGAACCTCTCTGACTTGGGTGAGGGTCTCACTCATTTTTTTTTTTCCTGAACAAGAAGCAAAGAACATTTTGTTGTTTGGTCATTTATTTGTTTGGATATAGTGAGACAGACTATCCCAGACTGGCCTTGAATATGCTCCCCAGTCCAGTCCAGCCTTAAATTCACAATCCTCTAGCCTCTGCCTACTGAGTGCTGGGATTGCAGCTGTGCAGCGTTGCAGCAGCAGCTGTGCACCATTGCAGCAGCAGCTGTGCACCGTTGCAGCAGCAGCTGTGCACCGTTGCTGCAGCAGCTGTGCACCGTTGCAGCAGCAGCTGTGCACCGTTGCAGCAGCAGCTGTGCACCGTTGCAGCAGCTGCAGTGAACGTTCTGAGAGCAGAAGGATGGTGGCAGGTGATGCATTTTCCCCCCCTTTAAACACTGAATTGGCTGCACTGTAGAGGAAGAGACAAAGAGGTAGAAACAGTTTAAGGGCACCAGGCAGGAGGTGGCGGCACCAGTGACTGCTAGCAGCTGCTCTTAGAAGTAGGGTGGGAAAGAGAGGAAGGAGGGAGGACAGGGTGAATGAAGCATGATCCCCAAGTTCCTGGCTTGCATAAACCGTGGGTGGTCCATACCCTGAGATGGGTATGTGAGAGGAAACCCAGTAAAGGTAAGACATTTTGATCTCAGACAAGGTGTGCTCTCTGCATCTTTGGACATCTGGCTGGGATGTGAAGTCAGATGTTGGGAAGCAGAGGATGGACAGCAACAGAAGGAAGGGACTAGGGATATCATCCTGGGAGTCATTTTCACACAAATAGCAAAATGTAGTGAGGGATTGTAGTATAGAGCGCCTTAAGATCTAGAGCAGAGAGAGGAGGGGAAGTTCAAGTACTACCCAAGGCAGCACGATTTGCAGAGTTACTGGGATGGTCGCACAAGTTCATTCACACAAACTGGTTGCAATTTAGAAAGTGCTTATCATGGGTCCCCCAGGCCAGGCCTTTAATCTTAGCACTCAGAAGACAGAGGCACATGGATCCCTGTGAGTTAGAGGCCATTCTGGTCTGCATAGTAAGTTTCAGGCCAGTCAAGACAACACAGAGAGACCCTGTCTCAAAATGAGGTATAACACACAGTTTGAAGAGATTATCAGAACCAGAGACAGATGGCAAGACTGTTAAAATTATCAGAGCAGGAATTAAAAGCAAAAAACAAACCCTATATATAACCTATAAGTAGGTTATATACTAAAGACCTTAATAGAAAAAAATAGATATGTAAAAATAGGTGACTAATACATGTAGGGAGATGGATTTTTACACACATACATGCACACACACAGAAACGTGCATGCGCACACACACACCAAATTCAAGATTCAAAACACAAGACAATTGGACAATCACCAAGCATGATGCTGTGTGCTCTTGTAATCCCAGAACTCAGGAGGAGGATGCAGGAAACAAAGGTGATCAGGAGTTCAAGGCTGGCATAAACTACATCTCACTCTGCCTCACAAAGCAAGCAAGAAAAGAAAACCCAAAGCAAAATAACAAAGCCACATCGGGAAACAATAAAGAATGCCTTTGCTGAGAGAAACTTCTAACTACACCAGAGAGCTTGCTTTTCATGCCTCCCCCCGTGTGTATAAGGCAGAACACAGAGTACACCGTCAACTGGCAGCTGCCTATTGAAGAGGTCTCAGAATAAAACACCCCTTTTGACAACTTGATCTTTCATTTTCTAGTCTCCAGAACTCTGTGGAATATATTGTTCTTGTTGAAGCCACTTGGCCTGATTTTTTCATGGTAAATCAAAGTGAATAAGATCAATAAACCACAGTATTCAACGACGGCAATATTCCACCAGGATCAATGAACCGCACCATTCAACGATGGAGATATTCCACATTATTCCCAAGTTCGCAGAGAATATTCACCAATAGAATCTGGACTCTGCAGGAGGAGACACACCTTAACAAATTTAAAAGATTGGAAACCATATAATGTTTGCTCTTAAGCACTAATGAGATTATACCAGAAATGAAGAACAAAACAATAGCAAGAAAATCCACAAAGTGATTGGCAATTAAACAATATATTCCTGAGTAACATGAGCTGAAGAACTGATTTCAAGGGAACTCCCCCAAATTAAATATTGAGAACTAAGTCTTAAAAAAAGTAACATTCCTTGTCACTTATTCAAGTGAACTGACAGTGTCTGCCCACACAAAACAACTATCTCTGAGCATCCACAGCAGCTTCACTCATAATTGCGGAACCTGGAACAACCCAGAGGTCTGTCAGTGGGAAAAGAGGTAAACCGAGGTATACACCCAGGTAACAAATGTATTCAGCTCCGAGAAGAAACCAGTGTTCAAGCCATGCAAAGGCATGGTGGCCGTTTAAATGTACCTCACTGAGTGAAAGATGGTGAACTGAGAAGTCACGTGTGGCATGTGACTCCAACTCCAAGTGCTCTAGAAAGAGCGAAACTTGGAGACAGTAAGAAGATCAGTTGTTTCTGGGTTAGAAGTGGGAGAGATGAACACATGGAACACAGGATTCTTAAGGCAGTGAAACTATTATTGTGATATCCCAATGGGGAATTAGTGGTGTTTTACAACTGTCAACAACTACAGAATGTGCTATACTGAGAGTAAAGCCTGCTTGGTGGTCGTGGTGGAGCACGCCTTTAATCCCATCGCGCGGGAGGCAGAGGCGGGCGGTTCTCTGTGAGTCTGAGGCCAGCCTGGTCTACGAGGGCTAGTTCTGGGACAGCCAGGGCTATACAGAGAAACCCTGTCTTGAAAGAACCAGAGAGAGAGAGAGAGAGAGAGAGAGAGAGAGAGAGAAAGAGAGAGAGAGAGAGAGAGAGAGAGAGAGAGAGACCTGATGGCCCTAGCAGATATGCCCAGGCAGCTCCCCATGAATTCTTGGCTAAAAACACTTAGGTTAAGAGCCCAAGAATCTCTCTGACACATGGAAAATGCCATGGCTACAGGTACATGGCCATGGCCACACCATCACAAGGAATATTTGCCTGAATTCTAGTCTGTTTAGCTTCTCGGTAACCCAGAAGAACACAAAGAAGCAATTACTTTTATTAAGCATTGGAGATGAAGAACACAATGTCCAGAGGAGTCAGACAACAATCATACCATAAGGGTTGAAGCTGAGACTCTATCAGGTCTCCTGGCTGTAGATTCTGGGGTTCCCTATGATTCAGACTATCTCCCAGAAACCTCATATTTATCAGAAGAACCATCTTGCCTCTGGGATACAGAATTCTTGCTACGTAGCCCCAAACCCCTTTGCCAATTTTGGATCTAGGAGGGGGAGGTATTGGGGACAAGTATACCTACCCAATGGGTGAGCTAACTAAGGAAGAAAACCATTTAGGCACAGGGACTCAGTGTGACCAGACCAGGAGCAGAATCTGGGCTCTGTTTCTGGTCTAGAGCACATCACAGGCAGGGAGCTTGAACCTCGTGTGGCTCTCTTCCTGCTGCCTGCTCCAAGCATCCCCCACGTACCAACATCTGGGCTTGCACCTTACTCGTATTCTGTAGCTGCCAGCGTCCCACTTCAGTGCTGTGGCATTAAGGGAGGCCTGTGTGCCCTGGGTCTCCGCTGCCCTAATTTCCAAGCTAAGACCTAGATAGTGTGTCTAAATTTTCCTCGGGCCAATTTCTGCCCCAGATTCAACCTCTGTTGGCTAAGTCTCCTCTCCCCATCGGGGGCTGGGTCTCCCACTCCATCCCTTGCTGGGTCTCCCAAGTCACCTGTCCTTAAAGTTTCTGACAGTATACCAAAGTCTCACTTTAAATGCACAGGATGCTATGGAGAAAAAGCCCAAACTAATGGAATCCAGATGAAAGTATGCAAACCTTAGCGTTCAAACTCACTATGGTGAGACTAACTCAGGGCCCTACTCCCTCGTTTGCTCTTCCTGCACACCAGGCACACATGTGGTGTACTGACATGCAAGCAGGCAAAACACCCACACACATAAAATCCTTTTTGCGGGGGTTGAAACAAGGTTTCTCGTGAAACAGTCCTGGCTGTCCTGGAATTTGTTTTGTAGACCAGGCTGACCTAGAACTCACAGAGATCCCCCTGTCTCTGCCTCCCAAGTGCTGGGATTAAAGGCGTGCACCACCATTGCCCAGCCATAAAATACTTTTTAAAGACACTTAATCCCATTTTCTTCTCCAAATTAAAACTTTAAACCTTGTTTTTTTTCTTTTATTTGTAATCAACGAAAAGACTCTAAAGTCTATTTGGAAGGCTAAATGGGCACAGGATGTAAAATCTGGGGAGAAAAAATGCAAGTGGAGTCCTAGTGGCTTGAAGTTAAGCCGTAATGTAAAGCTGCCAGAGTCAAGTTGGCTTAGTCTTGTTCTTTCCATGGTTGCCGTGCTCTCCTCTCAAACCGGGTGCCGTGACAGGACCTGAGGGTTTGGGGTCTAAAGGAGACTTGTGCTTCTGATGTCAGGGTGTGTTTGAGAGTCCCTTGGGGGGGGGGGAAGGAGCTGAACTCCTGAGCTGAGTCAGTCAGGCACTGAGCTACAGCTGATGGCCTTAGTCCTGTGGCTGACCTGAAAGAGGACAGTGGAAAGGGACAAGGCTGAGGCAGGGGATTGGGTCAGTCTCTGCCGTGAAGGCTCCTGTGAGCACTACTCTGCCAGGCCAGGCTTCACCCATGCAGGAGTGGCCCGTAATTGATAATAACATGAGCATCACATGAGCTGAGAGAAACAGCTACTCACTGAGCATGTACCACGCACACAGTGTGCCAAATGCTTTCAATGTAACATCTTGCTTCATCTTTATGACATCCCTAAAAGGATGGTTTTCATTATTTTTCTCAGGTTTTTGGATGAGAATATTGACATTCAGAGAGGTTAAGTAACTTATCAGGGACCATCAAGTTAGAAGGACTAAGGGTACATACAACCCCAGGAGGCTGACTCCAGGTTTCTCTCAGCTTACTTACCACATGCCCTGCCCTTCAGGTGTGGGAACAGAACAAATGGATCAAATGAGACAAGAGTCCGCTTGGCCTTCAGGCTGCTTTAAATCTGTGTGAGCCTCCACAGGGCTTGTACTGCTGATGCCAACAGGATGAAGGGATCTCTGATGTTCTCAGACCCATCACTCTTATGTACCAGAAGCCCCCATCCCAAAACTGAGGCCATCACAACCTCCTATGGATACCGGTAAAGCCGCTTATGAAGTATTTAGACAGCTTTGTCGCTCACTCATTCTTTTCACGGGAGAAATGTTGCTTCCCACCAAGATGCTGGAGCAAGATGAAGAGACTGTCCTCTGGTGGCCTCACTGCTTCATCCAATCTGAGGTCTCTCAGACAAGTCTCTGGATGCCTCCTAGTACCCCACGACCACTACCACCACCAGTACCATCCCCTAGTGCAGTGGTTCTCAACCTTCCTAATGCCGAGACCCTTAATTACTGTTCCCCACATGGGGACCCCCAACCATATTATTTTCATTGCTATTTCATAACTGTAGTTTTGTTAATGTTATGAACCACACTGTAAATATCCGTGGTTTTTGGATGATCTTCGGTGACCCCTGTGAAAGAGTTATTTGACACCCCTGCCCAAGGGGTTGTGACCCACTGGATTAGAAATACTGCCCTAATAGCAGCCATGAGGGGGAGCTGAGTCTTCCTGCGCAGTCATGCTATGTGCTTACCTCCCTCTGCTCCCTCTGAAGGCACAGTTCTTCTGTCTCCTCCATCAGCTTGTCTGTCAAAGCAAGCACACACTCACTGAAAACAGCCCAGGGGTCCTGTATTACAGGTGCTTTAGGGGGCCTCTGTCACCTATGCCATCTCTCCGGGAAGAGGTCTGCACTCCTAGCCAGAGGTGGGGTCCTGCTCTGCTGAGCGGAAGCTGTCCCACTGGCCCGAGCTGCCTTTCAGGTCATCTTCCCTGTTCTGTGCACCCATAGATCCACAGAAGACTTGACCATGGAGGCTCAGGTGGGTTTTCAAAGCCTGTGGTCTCTGCGGTCTCCTCCTGCTGGCACTAATGCCTAGTTAGCAGAGAGGGCACATTCCAGGGAAGAGAGGGGTACTTAAGCAGGCAGTGAGAAGCCGGGCCCTGGATGTCTCAGCCGGCTCCCAGGAAGAGGCTCAACCCATGCGCATCATCTCGCCCAACCTGGGGGGCGGGGTCATTGAGCAGGCAGAGCATGGGGGCTGGATCCCTGCAGTTAGGTTTAAAGTAACTTTGGAGAGAGGATAGGCACAGGACTTGGGGCTCAGGCAGGATAATGTTTTTTTCACTTTTAGGTCCTTCAACCGAAGGCCTGACACGTTCACCCATCCAAGGATTTTCCCTTTAAATTGCTCTGTACCCCATGTCTGATACGAGGCACCATTTTGATCTCTTCTTTAAGGAGGAGGAAATTGAGGTTTATAGAGACTGAGTGACCTACAGATCCACACAACAGAAAGGTAAGTGACAGGGCTGGGTCTAAAGCCGAGTTCTTGGTTACGAGTCTCTCCTGCCTCTAGCTTCCTGGTCAAAAATGTGCTCTAGGTGCCAAGCTCCCTCCCAAGCCCCAGAGAGATCTCCTGTACCACTCCACCAAGTCCCTCTCTGTCTGTCACCCAGGTTCCCAATTCCAGTTCACCCCGGTAACCAACCTAAATATTCCTGCTTCTCCTTAGCCAGCTGTAGCCCCTGTGCCTCCAGGCTTTTGATCATAGCTTCTCCTAACTGGGCATTTTTCCAGGTCCTGATGGGAGAGAGGACAGAAGAGGAGAAATACAAACAGTTAAACCAGAAGGAAGGCCCAGGGAGAAGGCCTCTCTTCTGCCCTGCAGAATCCCGGCTCAGTCTGGCACCTAGAGCTCTGGGCACGCCACCAACATTGATCAGTTACAGTAACTGGAGGCTGAGGTTGCAAAATGGGCCACAAGGACAGAGCCAAGAGCGCTCACAGAGGAGGGAAGGGATTGTTTCTCTGGCAGCCTTCTACGCCACTGCATGTCCACCGCCTGATTCAAAGCTGGGTACTCGGTGTTATTGTTTGGGTTAGAAGATGAACTGGCTTGAACGGGCATGGGCTGTGTTGGTCACGTGGGTCCTGTGATTTGTAAACACCATCTCTGGTCCTTGCTAGCGTTAAGGTGGGCAGGCAAGGTGGACCTACTGAGGTGCTGAGTATGAGGAGCAACGATTGATTAACGCCTGAGAATTGGAGACTAATGGTTGTCCACATCTGCCACCTGTCAGTGCAGATGCCTACCCGACCTCACCACTTAGGGCACCCTCAGAGACAATCTACAGTTCTTCCCATACACCTTAGCCAGCTCCCACAGCCCTGTCTCAGGACCCAACAAAGAGGCGGTTGGGTAGGGCCAGCCTCGCCGGCCCTGTTGGCTCTCATCCTGCCCCTCAGAGACCCTGCTAGCAGACACTCAGACACTTACACCTTCCCAGACTCCTGCAGCATCTCCAGCCATTGTGTCTGCTCAAACTCAGACTCAGCAGCCAACAAGACATTCCCCTGCCAGGAAGAGGAGCCAGAGTGAGAGGTAGCCACTCCCAAGGATAGAGATCTCTTCTCTTTCCTTGACCCCCAACAGGCCTGGGCCCTGACAGCCCTCTCAAGGCTGTTTCCAGGGGATCAAGACAAAGCTGCTTTGTCCTATGGACCCTGGGCTAGGGGAAGGTCCCTACTCACATGGAAGTCCTGATGTGAGATCTTCATGGCATAGGGCATGCTGGGCTCTTCTCTGGCCTCCACTAGGCAGCCTCCCAGTGGGATGACACCCTGAGGAAGAATCAGAACAGGCAGCTCCCACCCCACCCAGCTCACATCACTTAAGAGTCCCAGGAGCTACTGGAGAAAGCCAAAAGCTTTGCTAAGGACCACATCCCAGGGTTATGATACCAAGGCTAGAACTGACTCCCAGAAGGAAGGGAGCTAGGGCTGTCTCTGTGATTCAGGAAGTGTGTATACATGTGTGTGTTGGGGGAGGGGACCCAGCGCAGAAGCTAGAAGGCGTGTCTTAAGTCCTGAGAGGATTTGTCCTCCACATTCTACCCAATCACACAAGAGATAATTCCCTATCATCCCCAAATGTCCCCAGTGGGCCCTCGCTCGCTGTGGCCCTGGAAAGGAGCCTCCTTACCTTAGGATGTATATTGAAGTATTTATTGGTTTCAAAGCTCTTTCTTTCACTCTCAGAGTAGTAAAGCAGAAAGCTTTCTTTGATGATAAAAAACCTAGGGGAGAGGAATGAGAAAATGGTGAGATCTTGTGGGTCAAGAACACCCTTGGGGGTCCTAGACTCACAAGGGAGCCCATGGGGACCCTAGTTCACACTGCACATGACTCAGAGGAGCCTCGGATGACCTTCTGTATAGGCAGTGAAGGAGGGAGGTTCATGGCTGGCTTCCTTCAGCTCAGGAGGAACCTGTTGTCTTTCTCCTCGGGTCTCTTTACCCTCTGGACTACCCAGTACTCCAGTCACGTGGGAGCGCCTGTCTAGGTGTGGATGGAGGATGAGACACATGGTTCTAGATGGGTGTTTTGGTGGTAATCAAATGGAATCGGGTATCAACTGCTGAGGTCTGCAGCCCTGATACCCCAAGGTCATCCCTGCATTCTCTTTTGTCCCCGATTGCTCACACCCTCTTTCTGGGACTCAAGTTTAACTTGGAATCAAAGTGGCCATGGTACTTTCTGGGTACCAGGAAAGCAAATCCTCCGTGCCAACAGGAAGATTCTTTGACCTGCCTTGGGGACCCTTACAGAACTATCAGTGGAAGCTTTAGGAAACCAAGTGTGCTCCAAGGGGGAGCCCCAATTAGGTTACAAAGCTCCCAAGGTTTAAAGACGCCAGAGTTCTCCTTCCTCCAGGGTCACTGCTCCGATGTGACCTGAAATGGATCTGGAGGGATCCTGAGTTGTGAGATATGCACCTGTGTGTGTGTGTGTGTGTGTGTGTGTGTGTGTGTGTGTGTGCACTGTGCACTCCTGGATGCATACACAGGGGAAAGTTCAGAGCAGCGACACATTGGAACCTGCTAGGATAGACCCACAGTGGTCAACAGTGTGACTCTCTTAGCTGCTTAGCATTCAGCGACATGACACTGGCGACAATATAGGCCACAGCAGGAGTATTTGTACTATGAACATCAAAGACTGCAGAACCACCCCAAGAGCTTGTTATTAAACCATCCACTTCTGGTGAGGAGCTTGAGAAGATGCTGGTGGCATCAAGAAGTCAGAGGACCCCTTCAGGCTCCACCCTCCCCATGATCTTTTCTGTGACCACAGCGCTTTGGGGCAGAGTGGAGGGGCAACCTGAATGGCTGCAGCAACCCCTTTCCCGAGGGAACTTAAGCTCAACTTTGTACTTCCTTATGAGTTCACAATTTTGTTCTCCCGCCCCCTTTTGAGATGGAGGTCTCGCCGTGTTGCTCAGGCTGGTCTTGAAATCATAAACTTGAGCAATCCCCCCATCTGCTGAGACTGCAGAGCAGTGTGACTTCATCCCATTTTCTGTGTTGTGCCAACCCAAACATCCAGTAGCCACAGAACAAACGCGGCCCTGGCAGACACCGTGTTTGGGTTCCTGCACTTGGCACCGAGTACTCACTGGCACATCTGAGTGCTTCTTTATCCAGAGGGGGCCACTGGGTTCCTGGAGGGTAGGACCATGGCATATAAGTCCCATGAGAAAGACAGATATCCTCCAATGGTTCCAAAAGAAAGTTACAGCGTATGTAAGAGCTTAGACCTCCCATTTTCCAGCTTGGGGATGGGGAGTTTGGATAAAGGCACTCAGCTCCCTGACCCTCCGTCTCTACAGAAGAGAAGTGAGGACACCTACATTCTGGGATGGAAGTAGGGACTGAATGAGACTGGAGTCATGACCTAGCCCATGTGTGAAGGACCCAAGGTGGGATGGAATGATGCATGGCCTGGTGAGGTCCCTCTGTAGGAAATGCAGGCAAGCAGAATAGAATTGCCTCCCCACTCCCACAATAGTGCAACATGAACCCCTGTATATGTTGACTCCTTATCTGCAGGATTCTATATCTGCACACAGGATTTTTAGGCGGTAACTATGGTTCAGCGAACTAATAATTAGGCAGGACCATGATCTAATGGAACTGCGGCTTTATAAAAGAGGAACCTGGGCTGGAGGTATAATGGTTGTTTGCCTAGCATTCACAAAGCAATCTCCAGTACCACGTACACTAGCATTGTAGTACACACCACTAACCTCAAACGGAAGGAGAAACAAGAGAATAAGGAGCTCGAAGTCAGCCTCCGCTACGTAGTGAGTTCAAAGCCAGCCTCGGCCACATGAGGCTCACTAGTGTTACATGACCCTAATCCCAGCGTGTGAGACGCTGAGATCCAAGGACTACAAGTCTGAGATCAGCCTGAGCTGCACAGAGAGCCCCTATGTCAAGAAGAATCAAAGAAGGTAATCTCCAAAGAGAAGCAGACACCTCAGACACAGGGTCCATAGGTATCAAGGTCCCGAGCTGAGCTGTACTTGGTTATAAAAGGAATCAGAAGGCTGGAGCAGAGGAAGCAAGACTACAATCCCTATATCTAGACTACCCAACTCCATTAGGTTTCTTCTGTTAGTACATATAACGCCCACAGTTACCCTCCCAGGCAGGTGCCCTGTGCTTCCTAGTGCAGACACGGAGCGGAGAGGTGGCACAAGGACCTGAAACTCCCTGGTAGAGATTGGCTTTCTCTCAGAGTAAAATGACCACGGGGGGAGGGGGTTCCAGCAGGAGTGACACGGCCTGACTTACATTGTAAAAGGCTAGCCCTGGCTACTGCATGGGAAACAGACTGTCCTGGCACAAACAGGGGATCTGCTAAGAAGCTATCGCCACACATCACTGGAGGCAAGAGGTATGTAGAGTGGATCGAGGCATGTAGAGTTCCCAGGATCTTCCTGATACACAGGCTGTCCCCAGAGGTTACTCCCTTCCTAATGCTAGCACAGAAAGGCAGCCTTTGCTCCACGGCAGCCACACTTCAGCAGGCTGAGAGTCAACATGGACTGCCATATGACCCACACCTGGCACAGACCTAGAGGCCGAGGGCAAGCTCCTACCCACCATGGCTCATCTGACAAGACCCACAAGATCTTTGTTTATCAAATTGCCGTGGTGGTGGCCACTCTGGTTGATGTCCTTTGGCTTCTTCTCAGCAGTTGAGACCCTTGTAAGTCTAGAGAGGCGTTCCTCTTCTCGTACCTTCCTTCAAAGTCACCCTGTTCTCGACACCCTCGTTCAGGATGCGAGGCTGGGGCAGCCCCTTTGGGGCCCAGCAGAGCTGGACAGCCAGTGTAAGGGCTGGTCACAGCGAATACGTAATTTCTACGTATGAGCTTCTGTGAGGCTGAGAGCCTGCCTCTCAGAACAATGCTGGAGGTGAGGGCTTTCACTCCCCGTTCACATGTGAGGAAAGAAGGGTTTAGATGTGAAGTAACACACAAAGCCCTATGACTGCAGAAGAAGGATTGAAACCCAGGACCATCGCGCCTTCCTCCCACCCCCTAAATGGCTCGTGGAGCTGCTGTCCTGGCTCAGGACACACACCTAGGAGAGAGACATAGGAAACCAAATTGCAGTAGGCAAGGCGGGAAACCCATCAGTTACCAGCAGTGGTGGGGCAAGGATCTAGTCTTCTAGGCCTCAGGTCCCGTGTGGAGCTTGAGAATGATAATTAAAGCTATTTCTCCTGCCTGGGAGGGAGGGAAATGAGCCTCATCACAGAGAGGCTTAGCTCATAGCAGACACACAAGAAAAGTTCATTAGTACTCTGATTACTGCTATTCCTTAGGTTCAGCGTCTGCACAGCCACTCTGCCTCTCTTCCCATTCGGGCTCACACAGCAGCTACCGAAGAGAACATGGCTGCAGTCCAACTGGCTGGCTTCTTGCTTTCCAAACACATGTCAGAGTCATGTCCCCCTCTTGTCTGAAGCTTCCCCACCTCCAGGGCCAACATCTGTCCTTGGAGAAGCTTTACTGTCAGCTTTTGCTTTTAGCTCTTCTGGGTTACGGGAAGACTGGAGCCTGTGCGCGGTAAAGGTTTCATGTCAGTCCTGGCTGCCTCCTCTCTCTAGAGGCTTTATGAACACTACTATCATTATTATTTTATTATTGTGTCTCAGATGGTCAGGCTGGTCTCAGAATCACCGTATAGCTGATGCTGACCTTGAACCTCTGATCTTTCTGCCTCCACCTCCTGAGCGTTGTGCCTGGTTTATGGAGAGCTGAGAACGGAGCCCAGGGCTTCATGCATGCTACACAAGCAATCTACCAAACGAGCCAAACCCTCAGCCCCTACCCTGCTATTTCCACCTCCAGATGGAAGAATTTAGAAGTCAGTAAGGGACACCCTTCGCTGCACAAACTGTATTGACATTATCTTATTTAAATGTCTCTAGTGATGGGTGGGATTTTTGTTTCTTAGTACACTGGTAAGGAAACTGAACCGCAGTGAGACCGAGCCGCTGGTAGGTGGTAAACTCAGAGCTCTGTTGACAAAGCTCAAGTTCTCGGCTGCCTGTGCCCTGTGCTGCCAGTACTCCCCACCACCACTACTTGCTGTTGGCTCCCTTGAGCCGATCACTGCAGAACGGCTGCAGTGCCCACTTGGCTCAGGTCAGAGACCTGTTATGGTGCCAGTCGCCTTGCCTAAGCAGGTACTGTTCTGGGCCCTGACAACCCGATGAATCCCTGCCCCCAAGGAGCTCAAGAGTTGAATGCAGGAGAGAGCATGTGTAAAGAAAGAATTTTAAAACGGTTCATGTTTATCAAGCTCCTTCTTGGCACCAGGCCCTGTTTGAGCAACCACAGGTTGTATAGTAATTCATTTGCTACTTATTCAAGGTCGGTGATGAAACTGGAATGCAGAGAAATTGAGGAATATGCCCCAGATCATGGTGTGGGAGAATTGTCTGTATTCTGTCAATCATGTATTTTAATAAAACACTGATTGGTCAGGCAGGAAGTATAGGCAGGTCAACCAGACAGGAAGTAGAGGTGGGGCAATGAGAATAGGAGAAGGCTAGAGAGGAGGAAGCTCCCTCCGCCATTCCTGTGCAGACCACCGAAGTGACAGCATGTAACCTGCCCAGCTGAAAAAGGTACTGAGCCGTGTGGCTAACATAGATAAGGATAATGGGGTAATATATGTTATTAGCGCTAATAAGTAGCCTGACCTAATGCGCCAATCAG